GCGGAAGTAGATGGGCGTGACTTCGCCACTCTATTAAAGGGCCCATGTCATGGCCATTTCCACTGATCATAATTACATTGTTGAGGTATACTAAAATAGATTTATACTGTGCAATTTTCCAAACTCACATTGGTTTCGCATACAGCATCTCTGTCAAGCATGTGTATTCAGCAGTATTCACTCTCTCCACTAAACGACTCGTTGGAGCTCTTGCCCCCCCCTCCCTGTGAGCCTAGTGTGCTCCGATTGGTCAGCTCGGCCACTCTGTTCTGATTAGTCAACCACCAGAGAGGCTGCGCCCATGTCTCAGTGCTTTTCCCGGCTGCTCTCAGCGGAACATCAGTCTTATCATGGCGTCGGTACAGCCGTATAATTTATATACATATATATTTTTAACTGTTGTTATAGAAGAGTGTGACGGCCCCAGGGCCTTTGTCTTACGATGGGGTGGAGCTGAAGAGGCTAATCAGCGCGATCACGGACACCTCCGGAGCCGAGGTGCTATTAAGCCCAGCTGCCCGGAGTCACACGGCGGCCCCTGTCTCTCTCCAAAGCGGCTGCAGGAAGACGAACTCTGCGATCCTCTCAACCACCTATCTCTGCATTTACCACAATAAATGTGCCGTGGTTTTGTAAACTCGTGTATGTCTCCTTGTCTTTCCGTTGTGGCCTACGAGCCGGTCATAACAAAGAGTAAGTTATTTTTACCCGTTATAAACTACTACTGTTTGATGAGAAATCAAATCATGGTTTGCTATATATGAATGATATGTTATAGGTGCAAATAATTCAGGGAAGAAAGGATAGGCCTACTAAGTATTTCCATTAAACTTTATTTTTAGAAATGTACAAAATGAACGTAAATATACATATATTGTTGTCGGCATCTTGCCTATAGCAGCCGGGGCTTTTTGAGACGATGCCTCAGTGTGGTCGTCCAGTCATGTATTGTCCGGCAGGATCTGTCTGGACGAAATAAAATGCAAATCACAAAATATTAGAGAAACTTAGTTGTTTTAGATTCGTTAGTAGTAGTTGTGGTAGGAGTGTGGATATATCTAATGAACAGCTTGCCTGCTAATATGCTAACCTAGCTTTGTTTACCTTGGTAGCTAACACGATATGAACGTTAGCTTGGAGGAACGGAGTGTAATAAAACTACTATGAACAAAAGTTAGTGGTTCATATTAGGCTAGCAATAACGTGTTTATAATTGCATTATTCTACGGGTAGTCTGCTACGTTCGGTCATAAAATGTTTCCCGCTAGCATGTATAGCTAGCCTCGTTAGCTATACATGCATAGCTAGCCCAGGGTTGCCAACTTTGGGTACCTGGCTGGAGTGAGATTTTGATATCATGGGTTTAATTCGGTTTAATTACACATATGCGCACGAAATGACTGCTATCGTGTCAGCAGCGGGACCTTAGCATATAGGATATATATACAATATATACAAATACACAATAATGGACACAGACTATAAAGGGCACACAGTTTCATTCACTAATGAAAGTCAAACATGTTTGTTTCCACTGTTTTATTGTGCCTGTCGCGATAAGCAATTAATTGACTTATCGTACGATAAATAAAAATGAACTCGATAACTTTTCTGACCTCGATAAATTGCCATTTACATGAGGATGTGACTAGCAGTTTGAAAGGATGTACTTGAATAATTATTATATATTATCATTATGCCGTTATCGTGATTCTGATTGGCCAGAAGACATTATCAAAGATGTTCTATTGAGAAGACGATCACTACGAGACAAAAGTTTTCAAAACCGTTTCTAGTCTTCGTATTCTTGTTTTTGGCGTGAGAATAGTTTGGGCAGCGTGAGAGCGTGAGATTGAGAGTGAAAGCGTGTGTCACACGCCAGATGCGTGAGAGTTGGCAACCCTGAGCTAGCCTCGTTAGCTATACATGTACTGTCACAATGTACGGTAAATCACCCGGAGTATACTGTATGAGTATTCCGTGTGTGTGACTGCAGACATTCTCCTGCCATGACAAACATGTAAGGCCATCTGCTGACATTGTAGTTGATATATTTAAACTCTAGCAACTTAGTTAGCACAGTTAGCACTGGCTTAGCAGTCCGAAACATGTTTACACATTTAACAGTCGTGGTAGCTACCTTGTTTGATAAATACACAAATAACAATGCAAACTCACAGGTTGTGTACCCGAATCTTCCCCTGCTCCAAACGATCCAAACAAGCTGTGCATATCCGGCCTCAAACTGGGCAATGTTTTGGAAGCTTTCGTCTGTGAAATGCCGGTTCTTCGAACCTCTGGAGGAACACGCCGCTGCTAGTGTGGCCATAGCTCTTCGGGATTGGTCCATTTAGTTCCGGGTACCGCATGACATCAGGCGGTACCCGGAAGAATCAAATGGGCAGTGACGTATCTCCAACGAGGCGTTTTGGGGAGGTATTTTCTGTGTTAAGAGTTTTACTCGCTACAGGGTGTACTTTGAGGGTTTTGACTCTGCACACCGTTTACATGCATAAAAACCTTCATAACACACAAGGGGACGGGTAATAACCGGAAAAGCATGACATGGGAGCTTTAAGATGTTTAAATTATTTAAAGGAGGAAATCAATTAAAAAAAAATTATTTTTCTTTAGTATTTAGACTTTTGAAATAAATGAATAATAGTTGTTATTTACTTTAATGGTTTTTATTCATTATTTTGAAACCAAGACACCCTCAACTGAAAGACGGACATAGCAAAAACTGTCAATTTAAGAACATCATGACACATTTCAAGCTAAATGACGCATAGGATGCACATAATGTTTGTGTGATATTATAACATGCTTTCCAATAATAGGCAAAATAGGATATTTTTGAAGAAAATAGTTAGAATAAATATAATTATCATCAATGGACATCAATGGACATGGAATGTACCCCAAATTGTAGAATGAGTCATATGCTAAATATGAGTAGCTAATGCCTGTGCAGCTTAAATGTGGCACATTGAGGGAGGGCCTTCAAAAGAGTTGTAGCCCTGGGAAATTTCGAAAGTAATGTGATAGACAGTACCATTGTTGATGAAAAGCATAAATGTAAAACCAATTATAATATCAAACTCCGGAAGAAAAATATGAAGCTGCTGATTTTTAACAGCAAGCCATGATTTCAGTTCTTCCAAAACCACTTAGTGCAGAAATAGTCTCTATCACTGTCAGCTGCTGTCGCCATTTCTTATCTAAAAATATAGCTATAGTTACAGCCATGGCTGCAGGCATAAAAGCCAAATATGACTTCAGAAACATATGGGTTACATCACAGCTTTCAAAATGTTATAGTTCAGTAAGCCAAGTAGAATTATTTTGTTATGTTACTAGAAGATGTGGAGATGTATTATTTGACATCTACTCTGACCTCATTACTCCCACCAAGAGCATCACCTAGCTTAGTACATCAGATAGTAAAAGATAATAATCTTCCCCCAAAGAAAACTAAGACATTGAATCTGTAAGCGCATGCTGATGCAATGCTATCTGAGGAAGGGTTACATCATCAACTGCTGTGCAGACGAGCAGTGTGGCAGCAGCAAAGCAAAACATGAATACATTTAAGGTGAATGCACAGGCAGCAAGCCAAACTACATCTTATATGCAACAAATAATTATAAGCACACCTTTAAACTCACATTCAATCATAAGACATCGCAGGCAGGCAATGTCCACTTTCAAATTCTTGAAGCATGTTTTTTGAAATGACCATCATGAAATTATGAAAATGATTGTGGCTCAATGTAAACCATGGAGCAGAAGATCAGCAAGTTTAAATGGTGACACATATACCCACTGTTTGGAGATTAAATATTCAGACTGAATATATGAAATGTGTTGGACATGTGTCTGCCCACCCAGTGTATGATAAACATCCAGTTTTCAATACATATTAATATTTGAATGGATTGTGTGCGACAATGAAATCCTATTTACATTGATGGAACCACAATTAGAGACCCAAGTTTGCGTTGACAGAGAGTTACCCCCAAAAACATCAACAACAACATCCATCTATTCTGTAACAACTTAATCTGTTCAGAGGCAGAGGCCTAACAACTCTGACAAGTGGATTCACCACTATGTAAAGCAGGGATGGGCAACTTGGATGGTGGTGGGGGCAACATAATTGATGTACTGGCCACCAGGGGGCCGCAGATTCACTTGGAACACACACACACACAAATTCCATGTATTGTATGTAATTATTAACAAATATACTAAGTCTGACATCTTCATTGACATTTTTCAATCTTTCAAGGAACATCCTCTAACAAGCTTACTAAACAAATATCAGTTCACAGAAATGTTATTTAATTTTTACAAGTGGCATGTTTGTATTGAACAGGTTATATAACAGTTGAATAAAACTATTTTAAACTATTGGAAAGCACGGAAAATGTGTGTGCATTGAGATTAACCATTAAGATGATATAAACATGAAGTCATGAACACTAACCCAGACATTAGTTGTCTAACTTGAATCTAAGACACTTGTAGCCTGTCTCTGCATTCCCCTTATTCCACAATAAGGGGAATATCAACACAGACACATGTCAACCCGCACTCTGCTGTTCCTCAGCGCCACTCCCCCTCCCTCCCGCTGAAATTATGAATGAAAAGCGTATAGTAATCATAGATAACACGGGCCGCCATTTGCCCATCCCTGATGTAAAGCAATAGCATGAACACTTCACACAGGCCCACACAACCTCATAAAAATCATTCTTATAGACATAAGCAAATAATTAAGTATAAATAGATACACTTCAAATTAAAACGCAACACACAAATAAATGCAGAAAGTAGCAGCCAACGGGAAAAGGCCTCGAAATGAAACACAAGCAAATCTGAGCAGAGCAATACTTGAAGCCATCATATACAATTAACAGCAGCCACATAGTATAGAAAAGGCCATTGTCATGCAACAATAACTGAGTGACATGGCCCAACAATCAGCAAATTATTACCTTTAAGAAGATGGAATATTCTCATCAGGAAGGAAAGAGTTGGGTCCAAGCAGCTCTTCCGGTTTGAAGTAGGCTACACCTGTGCGGCTGACCCGATGCATAGCTAACAAACAGAGCAGAAAACATGGTGAAATAAGTGAATTCTCCACATATCCTTCAACAGAATCGGGTTGTTGATAGTCAAACGGATAATTAAACGCTACTTACTAGCATAAGAAAGTTTGCAAACGTGCAATTAGGAAGCAGCAGCGACGCGATAAGAGTCCTTTATTAGCATATGTGTCCATGCATGCAGCTCAAATGGGCCGCCATGCACAGGACAGGTGAAAGGGTGCGTTCGATTTAGGTAGCATTCAATAAAGATGTTCATGTGTGAGCGCAGGAGTCATTTGTTTTTGATGGGATAAAACCAGAGGTTGGAGAAGTACTCAGATCTTGTACTTGATTAAAAGTAGAAGTACCACAGTGTAGGAATACTCTGTTACAAGTAAAAATCCTGCATTAAAATGTTACTCAAGTAAAGGTAGAAAAGTATTAGCATCAAAATATACTTAAAGTACCAAAAGTACTCAATTTCCGAATAATGGATATGATTTGTTTTGATTATGATTATTGATGCATTAAAGTGTTATCAAAGCTGGTAAAGGTGCAGCTAGTTTTAATGACTTTGTATACTGCATTGCTTGTGAATTTACTCCAGGTTGAACTAAAGTCTGATTTAAGTGTTGATTATATTTCACATCATTAATCCAATTCTGTAAAGTATCTAAAGGTATTTAATATGTAGTGGATAAAAGTACACAACATACCTCTGAATTGTAGTGGAGTAGAAGAACAAAGTAGCATAAAATGGAAATACTCAAGTAAAGTACAAGTACCTCAGAATTGTACTTAAGTACATACTTGAGTAAATGTAGTAGGCCTACTTAGTTACTTCCCACCTCATAAAAACCAATTCAATTATAAACCAAAAAGATAAGAACATAACTTGTATGGGTGACTGAGCGCAGTTAATAAAGTCGAGTAAAATGATCAAACTAGCTAAGTATATTAACTTTTAACCATTAGGGTTTTCTTTGGTACAGCACAGAAGGGAGCATTTCAATTAAGCCTACTTTATTTTGTAAGGCCTATTTTTCAGTTGCCCCCCAAAGGGCTACTCACAGATTCTCCATCAATCACATAGGGAAACTAAGTAATACAAGTCCTCCAAGATGATTACAAATATTTGCCTGTTTGAAACTGATACAGTGTCCTAGGCTGGGGTTAGGAGAGTGGAGGGTTGCAACCAGCTGTGCAAACATAATCTAGATGATTTATGAACCAACCTGTGAGCTGCTAATGCTCCACAATGACACTGGAGCCACTGCAGCTCTGGAGCCACGACCCACTGATTAACCACTGCAGCACAGACTGATACATGTACAGTACAAAGGCGTAGGTGGGTGGTCCGACAGACACACAGAGACAGTGCTTCTGCAATTTTCTTCCATTTTAAACAATGTATTATCAGTTTATCACACTGTTTACCACATTAATCTAGAACTATATACATACACTTCATTTCGATATCTGACAGCAAGCTGTGCTCTAAAATAATATTTTTAGTGAGCCTTTGGTTGTGGGTGTATATGAAGAGATAATCTCACATAAGTGTGTGCATACAAAGGTAATAGTGGATGCAATGAAATCTTACCTTATTTGGGTATGTTTGAGGTCACTCAGGTGGTAAGTTGTAGGGTGAAGCACACTTTATATATACTCAGGTTTAATTCCCGCTCCTGTTATATATCTGAACCTGAATGCAATATCTGGGGGTTATTATAAGAGTAGAAAGTTAGCAAGAAAAGGCTTTAAAATAGCCTTTAATGGTGCAAGTTTATACATGCACTAGACAGCAGAATTGGGTAATTTTTGATTTAACTAAAAGGTTTCTCTTTAACATTGACAGATGGGCAACCTGTTTATCAACTTTTACAATAAAAATGATCTAACCATACAATGTAAGTGAATAAAAGACAAATACATTAAGACACATAATATCATTTTAATGCAAATGTCAAACAAACACCAAACAAAAAAGAGTAGTCACTAAAACTAAAAACAATAGATACCAATGGAAATGTTGCACAGGGATAGCAATACAAGCGGATATTGACAGCATACAAATCTACAAGCAATTTGCAAATAACACACAACCCACCACACCGAATATCACCTGAAAGCAAATAAAAATATATATGTAAATGAAATGTTGCAAATATATAAAGGACCACATGATGGCAGAATGGGACCATGAGTTGTTTTCTACAGCTACAGAGGCATTTTGAGTAATCTGTTGATCATAGAGGGTTATTCAAATCCTGTAATACTTAAGGGAGCAGCTGATTCCAGGCCAAAACATTTTTTATCCATTTCACACATTTCCCATTCACTCCTTGTCGATATCACATATGTGTGGTTCAGAGGCCTGTGAGCTCAAACAGCTCCAACACTATTTCAAGGGCCAATTTTCTTTAAGGCCATGAGGAGAACACTTTTTACAAGATCTAAAAAAAGCCCTTTTGTTACATAATGATGACTTTTTTCATGATATGCATTTACAACTTTACAGAACTGCTGCTCGGAGCGTCATCAGTATGATCCTTCATGTGAATTTTCAGCTTTACTCCGCTTCTGAACTGTTTTCCACAGACGCTGCATTTGTTCGGATTCTCGCCTGTGTGAACCCTGAGGTGTATTTTCAAGTGTATTCTTTGAAAATAACTGTTTCCACAAGTGTTGCACTTATATGGCCTTTCACCTGTGTGGGTTCTTATGTGCTTTGTCAAAGTTGTGCTGACTGTGAATCTTTTCTTACACTGAGGGCATTGATAAGGCTTCTCCCCTGTGTGCAGTCGAGTGTGACATTTCAGCGATGAGTAGTCTGCAAAGTCCTTCCAGCAGGCGCTGCAGGTGTAGGGCTTCTCACCTGTGTGAATCCTCATGTGCTTCTGCATATTCACTTTGCAGCTGAATCCTCTTCCACAGGTGATGCAAACAAAGGGCTTCTCCCCTGTGTGAGTTCTCATGTGCTTGTTTACCGAAGACATCTGGGCAAACTTTCTCCCACATGATTTGCATTGGAAGGGCTTTTCTCCAGTGTGAGTTTTTATATGTCGTCTCAAAGGAGAACTCTGGACGAACTTCCTTGCGCAGTAGCTGCATTCAAAAGGCCTTTCCCCCGTGTGGATTCTCATGTGAACTTTTAAGTCATGGAAATGAGAAAATGCTTTGCCGCATTCGTCGCACTTGCAAGGTTTGTTCTGGGGATTTGGCTGAGTAGTGTCTGCTGATGTTGTGTTTCCTTTGTAATGTTTATCTTGAGTTGTTGGGGCATGATTTGTGGTCAATGTGGGATGGACCGTGTTACATTTATTTGTTGGCTTTGGCTCAATAATTGCAGCTGATCTTCCATCACTATGCTTATTTGTTTTCTTTGGTTTAGGCTCAGAATTTGTAGTTGAGGATGTTTTCTCTCCATCAGGTTTCTTCTTTGGTTTAGGCTCAGAACATGTACTTGATGCTTTCTCTGCATCAGGTTTCTTCTTTGGTTTAGGCTCAGAACATGTACTTGATGCTTTCTCTGCATCAGGTTTCTTCTTTGGTTTTGGCTCAGAATTTGTACTTGATGCTTTCTCTTCATTATTTCTCTTCTTTGGTTTAGGCTCAGAACATGTACTTGATGCTTTCTCTTCATCAGGTTTCTTCTTTGGTTTAGGCTCAGAACATGATGCTTTCTCTTCATCAGGTTTCTTCTTTGGTTTAGGCTCAGAACATGTACTTGATGCTTTCTCTTCATTAGGTTTCTTCTTTGGTTTTGGCTCAGAATTTGTAGTTGACAATGTGTTTCCGCAACTATTTGACATTTTTGTAATGGATGCACCTTTCTGCTGCTTAGGTTTTGGTGTTGTATTTGTTTTTTGTGTTTCGTTTCCATGGTTTTTTCTTCTGTGGTCTTGATTATCTGTTACTTGAGAGGTGTTGGGGAGGAGCTGTTTGCCACTTCTCTGCTCTGATACAACAGAGTTCTTCCTGTCAGATTCAGATCTCACCCACACAATACGAATTTTGTCAACGGGATGTTCCTCTGCTGCACTCTCCTGCTTCAGTACGAGCTGCTCTCCCTCCATGGTGCACAGTTCCTCCTGTTCTTCTTTAATCTTTGCAGGCTCTTGATCCAAAATGGAGTTGCTCTTCTTAATACAGAGCTGCTGATCAAGAAGCACTTCATTCTCCTCCTGCTTACAGACAAGTTGCTGTTTGAGCTCTGGGGGACAAAATAAGAAACATTAGGGATCGTTTTCACCCCTGTGTAGCTTTAAGATATGAATTAACTGTTGGTTAACCTATGACTAAGTATTTAACTACTCTGATAGTATATTTAGTCCCAGTAGGCCTAGCCTGTGGTCAGCTCAACACAATAAGCATAATTCAATCAAAGCTTCACTTTATCTTAAGTTATCCTCTAAGAACTAATGGCTGGTGCTATTATTATTTGTATTTTGACTGAGAGGCGTATATCTGACTTTTTGGCGGTACAGAGCTTTATACGGATTGCTCTCATATACTCCAGATTTATATTGCATTTTTAGCTTTCCTTTCCTTATTATTCTATACTTCATACTTTGAGTTAAGTGGAGTAATTAGTTACTTTTAGGATTACGATTTTATAAAGAAAGATATGATCCATTTATATGTCCAACATTAACCAGCTGAAACAATAAATAAGTAATAACATTTATGTATATTTATGCTAATCTACCTTTCTGAAAGGGACCATTCTGTCTAAAAAGGAGGGTACTTAAGTATATTTTCTTGTTAATACCTTTCTACTGAATAAGCCAAAGTGAAATCTTGATATTTACTTTTATTTCTAATGTTTATGGATATTTGTGTAACAATGTAAACAGATTTACAAAACAGTCATTCAGATTTGTATCTGGCAAGTCAGCATAGAAGTAAATAAAACCCACACTCAATATTTTATTGAGTATAAGAATAACAGGAAGAACCTGCAACGGTAGCTAAACCCGGAAGGCGTGGTTCCTCTTACAAATGTCAGAATTGTAACGTTTATTTGGCTTAATGCAAGTTACAATTATGTAAAAAATACAAAAGGACCTCAGAGACATACCTGTCCTGTGTAGCTTTATGTCAGGCTTCAAAAGCATATCCAGCAATCTGCGTTGACGGACGATCTTCTCCTCGTACACAACTATAGTGTGCTCACAAACTCCTAATATTTCCTCCACAGCAGCATTTAGTCGCTCGTTGATAACCTTTCTCAAATTCTCAATTGCAGACATTTTAAATAATTTAGAAATAAGGCTTTCTTGGCTTTAGCTCTGACACACTGTCTTCAGTTTGTCACTTTAACAGAAATGCTTCATTTCCTGCCAGAGCCGTTAATCTCTCTGTACATCAGAGATAATAAAACAGTGAGGCAGGGGCAACGTCAGAAAAAGTACAGGAAATGTCAGTCCAAGCTGACTAAAACGTACATTGCAACAGAAAACATTACAACGACACCATTTTAGAAACAGTGCAATACAATTTATTTAAAATTAAATGTTTTACAGTATAATTGTGCTGATTGTGTTGATTGTAGGAATATGATGCACTTTTAAAAGTTATTAGATAAAAGTCAAAACATTGATGCATTTAGAAAACAAAAAAGCAAAGTTTCCTTTCTTAATTTGACAATAAAGTGAATAATAGCTCTGATTAAAACAATATCAGAAAAAACAAAGGATAGTCCAGCAAACAAGCTGGATCATTTTGTTATTGTAACACCATGCAACCGCAGCAGACACCAACAAAAGCTGCAGACACCAACAAAAGCTGCCCCATCATCAGCTCCCATCACAAATAGGCTAAAACACTAAAAGCAGTTTGTGCAGAAAATAAAAACAGGTTCTTATTATCCAAAGGAATATTTAAAAGAGGCGGCTCAACAGATTTAACAATGTATTATTTTTAGACAGTATAAGAATAACAGGATGAAAGAATCCAAATGGAGTTCCATGAAGTCTTACTAATTGTCTTAGCATTGATTGAAGACAAAACTAAAAATCTAATAAAAACATTTGGTGGTGTGGAGTTAGAAAAAAAGAGATAGCCATACATCTGTAGCCAGTTCCTCATCACTGACTGTGGCTACAACTCAAGGCTACATTATTAGCCGCTACTAGCATACCAAAAATCGTTGACCAAACTGTCTGAAGCATGCATCGTGGGTAATGTGGGAGCCAGATTTTGAAGCGTATCGAAATAAAATGACAATATCTCTTGTTCTTCTGCATCATTTTTTTAAAAAATTCTGTCAACAGTAAGTCCGACAATGTTCAATGTGTGGATTACTCTTTTAAATAAAATTCCACTATGCACTCTGGCTGCAAATCTTTACTTTTATCATAAGTTTGATGTATCAAATGCAGACATGTTTTTAGGCAGTGGAGCTTTGTGCATCACTGCGGTGTACCCTCTCGTGTTGGTTGAGTTTTAGCCATGTAGGGAACGCTTCTCCACAGGTACAGCATTTGTAGCCCTTCTCTTCATTATGCAACTTCATGTGTCTTTTCAGGTTTGTTCTGTGACCAAACTCTTTGTCACACACCTCGCACTTGTATGGCTTTTCACCTGTGTGTGTTCTGATGTGCCTTTGCAAAGTTGTCGTGGTAGCAAATCGTACCTTGCAATAAGAACACACAAAGGGCTTTTCCCCCGAATGAACTCGCAGATGATTTTTGTAAGACGAAGAATCCGCAAATCTTTTGCCGCATTCGCTGCAGGTGTAAGGCTTCTCACCTGTGTGAATTCTCAAGTGCTTTTTCAGATTCACATCTGACCTGAAGCTTTTGTCACACGTGTCACATTTGTACGGCTTGTCCTCGCTGTGAACACGCGAATGCAGGTCCAGATTATACTGCCGGTTGAATCTTTTTCCGCAAACTTTGCATTTGAAAGGCTTCTCAACAGAGTGAATCGTTAAATGTTTTTTCAAATCCCAACTCTCCCTGAACATTAAACCACAAGTGTCACATTTGAAAGTCTTCTCAACAGTGTGGGATTTCATATGAAATTTGTAGTTTTTGAAGTTAGTCATCACTTTACTGCACCTGTCACACTTGTACGGGTTATTATCATCCTGGATCCTATCACCTGATTGGTTCCCATCTCCCTGATTGGGTGGTGAGTTAGAATTTGATGTTGTGCTTCTTTGGCTACGTTTCTTAACTTTTGTTTTCTCAGTAGTTGATGTTGTTTTCTCATCCTTGCGTCTCTTATTTGGTGTTTTGTCAGTACTTCCCTTAGATGTTGAGCCCCCATCATTCTGTCTCTTTTTTGGTGTAACCTCGTTGCTTGTGGTTAAAGTTGTACATCCATCAGGAAGCTTCTCATTCGTTTTCGATTTAGAACGTGTAGTTGATGTTGTTTTCCCATCGTTGGGTTTCTTGCTTGCTCTTGGATCAGGACTTTTACCTGAAGTTGTCGTCTCATTGTTACATTTCTTATTTGGTGTGAGCTCAACGGCTCTGGTTGATTTTTTACGTTTTGTTTTGTCAGTACTTGTAACTGATGTTGTCTTCTCATTGCTATGTGACTTTTTTGGCTTAACACTTCCAGAAGAGGTTTGTCTCCCCTCTTGGCTTTTCTTTGTTGCTGTTGACTCACTAGTTCCTTTTGACTTAGGTTTGTTTTCATTCGATATTTCATTTGGTGTTAGCTCTGTGCCTCTATCTGGTTTCTTATTTGGTGTTGGCTCAACACCTCCAGGTGAGCTAGGTCTCTCGTCTTGGAATTTCTTATTTGGTGTTGGCCTACTTTTTCCTTTAGATGTTGCAACATTATCATTGCATTTCTTGTTTGGTGTTATCTCAGTGCCTGTAGCTGATGTTGTGGTCTTATCGTTGCATTTCTCATTTGGTGTTGGTTCAGTACTTTTAGCTGATACTGAGGACTCACCATTATTTTTCCTATTAGGTGTTAGCTCAGTGCCTCTGGTTGATTTATTGGCATTTGGCATTGTATCAACATTTCCTGGTGAGGTTGGTCTCCCATCTTCACCTTTCTTGTTTGTTGTTGGCTTTTCATTTGAGGCTGTGATCTCATTATTACCTTTCCTATGTGTAGTGGTAGCTGACGTGGTTTTACCAGTATCTGGACTCTTTTTTGGCATCGGCTCATCATTTCCACTTGATGTTGTGTTGTCATTGATATGTTCCTCATTTGTTGTCAGTTCAGTACTGCTGGTGGCTGCTGTGTTCTTATCACCACATTTCCTATCTGATGTTTCCTCACTTCCTGTAGCTGATGTTGAGTTTTGGACTTTGCTTATTTCATTTTGTGGTGACTCGATGTGTGTTCTTGGTTTTGCATTTCCATGGTTACAAGCTACGTGATCTTGGCTCCCAGCAGAGTTGTGAGAGGGGAGCTGGTGGTCAGTGCTTGGTTCAGATACTGCAGTCTCCCCGTCAGATCTAGATAAAATATCTTTGCTTGAGATGCTGGATTGAGGATCTTGATTCACTGCACTCTCAGTTTGATGAGGAACCGAAGGCTGAGAGGGGTCACTGTTGACAGGTTGCTCACAAGTTGAAGCTGACTTAGAGGCTTCAGTCTCCTTCTGTTGTCCAAGCTGCTGTGTTTCTTGACTGATGCATAGTTCCTCCTGTTCTGCTTTAACAGGTGGAGGATCTGGCGGTACATGACTGGAGCTGGTCGCCTGGTCAAAGTGCTGCAGCTGGATCACGAGAACCTCGTCATCCTCCTCCAGCTTTTGGACATGTCTCTGTGGGAGCTCTGAAGGTAGAGGGAGAAAGGATTGGGACAAAGATGACTGACTGTGAATAGATAAACCTATATTTAACTGTTGTGATAAAATAGTCTATAATACATAGAACATTTTGAGTTGCCCAATGAGGAGTAATTTATTTATTTATGTCAAACTAATGTTAACACTGCATTAACATTGATCAATCAATAAACATGTAGGCTTTTATTGCTGAAGCAGGTTAAGGTGAAGATAGTTCCAAATACTTTATATACAGTTTGGTAGATTAGTTAAAACATAGGGGTTTGGCCCCCTCTAGTGTGTCATTAATAAATCTGAAGGGTTGTCAGAAAAAAGTAAAAAATAACAAATGTACAATTTTACAATTCGTTTGGCTTTTCCTTCAACTTTTTCTGTTTGTAAAATACTGGGTGAACTTAGTATGTTGAATCTCCATGGTTGCAGATGTTTAGATCAAACACTCAGGGAAATAGTCTCAGTAGTGGATTTGCCAACAACTCAAAGACATCCAAGACATGACAAGACCTGCAGAACAATCCAAGGCATACCTAGTGTGTTGAATGACTATATTCTTAAGGTTGTATATGTTTGGCTTAAAAGCATAAATAAAGTATTTACATGATATTAAAAGCAAAATAATAGCTGGAAGTGGTCACAAGCCAAAAGGTTGCATAAAAGCACATCTTTAATTACACTTTGTATGTATAGGCCTGTATAAGGTTATAGACTATAGAGCTAAAGCTAGTTCTCAGATTAAAGTATGTACAGTACAGTGTTGACTCTGAATTGTAGTACAAGCAGAAGTAACATGGGATACACAAGTACAGTAGTATGTGTACCTCGGAACTGCATTTAACGAAGTACTTACATAACATACTGGCTTTTGTACATTTGGACAGAAAGAAGATTAGAGTTATGTTAATGATTGTCAAGCGTATTCATGTATTGCCCTTAGGGATTTGACAACTGCAGCACAGAGGGGACTTCCGCATGTTAGGTGGTGTAACATTCATATGTATTAAGATAGTATTTGTTTAAACATAAGCATATTAAAGTGTACGGACAATTTGGACGTGATTATGCGAAAGTATAATCTTTGGCATCTTTGTTATTATTCTATTATTACATCTGTCAAACTGGTTTGTCTGGCATGTGACTCAAAGTACGTGTTATTAAATTGCTCAAAAACGAACAGCCTTTATAAAATATTAAATATTTGTCCGTACCTGTCCGGTGTAACTTTAACTCAGGTGTCAGCACGGCATCCAGCAGTCGGCGTTGACGAGCTATTTCTGCCTCGTAGCCTTCCATCTTCTTCTCATAAGCTCCCAGTATTTCCTGAGCAGCCGCAGTGAGTCGGTCACAGACAAACCGTCTCATACTTTGAACTGAAGACATTGTTGAATTAAAATAAAGCTGCTTTTTTATCGCTTAAAACTTCGTAAAACTATAACTCGTGGATGTGACGTGCGTGACAGTTTTCTTCCGCATGAGAAGTTGTGTAAACAACAAACAACATATTGGGCTCATACTGCCACCTGCTGCACGGGAGTGTGTCAAATAAGTGAGTGATTATTTGTGTAGTTTTATAAGGAAAAACTCTTCTTAAATTAGCCTTTTTGTCAACCAGAATATGTTCCTTATTATTTTCCTTTCGTGTATGATTGAGCAATCATTGATTACAGTTTATAAGCAGTGCCTAATAGTTTCCAACAGTGTAATTTATCCATCTTTCTAAATGTACTGTTTATGGATCAAGGCTATAGGAAGATTTTATTATACACCTTTAAAACTTGTCAGATTCACTCGAGTGCATACTAATCATCGCTGCTATAAATATCTTAAATGCTGGCTTGTTAAGCAAGTAATTTGTGTTTTATATTAAAGAACTTTGAATAAATTATGTTTGAGCTTGGATTCTTTGTTTAGAGTAGCTTTTTGATCATAATATTGTAATGCCATGTAAACAATTACACCTCAGTGCTTTGGCAATTGTCAATGTGTCAATTCAAGAGCCTACGGAGATGTTTTCAAATTGCTTGTTTTGTTTGACCAGCACTACGAAATCCAATATATTCACACATCCACATAAGAGATGCTGGAACAACCGAACGTTTCTGAGTGATAATTAAAAGAACAACACAATTACAATTCTTAATGTATTAGCAAAACAGTTGCTGAACATCCACAAGCCTTTCAGAACTCTTACATGAAATTAAAGTAACTTAACAGTTGCCAAAGAAAATATAACTCAAAAGGAAGAATAAGGGCAGAGACTTAGGCCCCACTCACACGGGAACGTTTGCGTTTATGCACAGTATGCGTATTCAAAAAAGTCTTCCGTTCACATGCATTCGTTTAATTTAACGTGTCTGTTCAAACGAGGCCGCTGGAAACGCTGTAGTACATATGCCAGGACTGTAAGTGGCGCTGTAACTTCCGCCAAAATACACCAAAAGCAGCGAAGAAGAGCAGCCCGAGCAGCCCCGACGCAATGTTGCCATGGCTACCCTTCTGTTTAAGCCCCGCGGTGTATTTAGCAACATGTAGTTCATGTAATTCTCCATGTCCACTTGTTGCTGATGGTTGTGGTAGAGGAGCTGTAGATTTTTGCACTAATATCTGTAGCATGGTCAGTAGCAGTAGCACTAGCAGTAGCTACTGACAGGAGGAAGTGTGTGTGGCGATTGCTGGTATTCAGCGGGATATAGTCATTTCCTCAGCATATGGATAAATGCAACGGGGAAGTTAACTGAAAGAAACCGAATCTGTGGATATTGCATCAACCGACCAAGAAGCACGTCTCTGTGGAGAGGACGGCTCAGAAAGAGAGATATTCTCTACAAACACCGGGTGAGATCGCGCCTTTGTCAATATAATGGATCAATGCATGAAATCTGACTCTGTTTATTTTGTTTAAGGAGTATATTGGGCGTTAACAATTCTGGTTTGCCTTTTATAATATTATTTCATTCAAGAACCCCTTGTGCGTTTAATTAACACAGCTATTTTTGATAGTTGCAACAGCAGTGAGCAGGAGAGGTGGGGAGAGGTGGGGCTATCGCTATTTTTTCAGGAAATATTCGTATAGAGGTGATTACACGGACTCGGTTGACCCCCCAGAGCGTTTCGTTTGCAAATCTATCCACCTTGGGACCCGTTATCGTTTGTGGGGTCAGTTTCTATCGGCCTCGTGTAAATAATAGGGCTATACGCACGCGAAACTATGCAGATACAAGCAGTTTTCTCCTCGTGTAAACGGCGCCTTATTGTAAGTCGCTTTGGATAAAAGCGTCAGCTAAATGTAATGTAATGTAATGAAGTAAAGTTGAAGAGGGATAAAGGCTGCTGCTTAGTTCTTCTGTTATTCCAAATGATGTGTCAAATGTAAACTTTTTTTGCTATCTGTTAAATCAATTTACAGACTTGTGATGTCAGGACAATTGATTAAGCATATTTTTCAAGTTTATTTAAGGGGAAATATTACAGTATTAACCCTAGCAGTAACATCTATTCATCTTTATTTACATAATTCAACACAATAAAATATATTTTTGCTTTAGAGTTGCAATCCAAGCTGCCACATGAATCACAAATCGTTTCATTTCTTTCACTCTTGTGCATTAATATAATGCATATAAAGAACATTATATAAAGGGCTTTAAAAGCATCACACAAGGCTCTGGGTAAACAGTCATTTGCTGCTTCGGGGGTGAGCTCATGATTAGAAGATGCAATTGTAAGTCTCTTTTGTTCTTATTATAAAATCTCTCCTGAAATATTGCTGTTCTCAGGCTTCTCACCGGCATGCGAACGGACATGTCTAATCAATGCTGAGCTCGAGGACATTGCCTTATCACAGTAAACACAGCTGTAAGGCTTTTCACCTGTGTGACTTCTTACGTGAACTTGCAAATGTTCCAAACGCCGGAAAGTCCAGTGACAATAGTTGCAAGAGTACGGCCTTTCCCCTGAGTGGGTGACCATGTGTCGTTTCAGGTTACATTTGAAGCTGAATCCCTTTCCACAAACTGTGCAACTGAACGGCTTCCGAGCACCATGAGATCTCATGTGAACTCTAAGTTCTGAATACAAATAAAAGTCTTTACTGCAGCTGTTGCACTTATATTGTTTTTCACTTGGTTTGGTCCCCTTGTGTTTTTGATTTGGTTTTGTTGCATTTCTATGGTTGCCACTTGTCTGATCTTGGTTACGTGTTACATGAGAGATGTGAAAAAGGAGCTGATGTTCACGGTTTTGTTCTGGTCCTCCAGAGCTCTCTCTGTTAGGTTCAGATATTTTTCTTTTAGGTAAAATGTTGTCAGGAGGCTTTTTCTCTGCTACACTTTGATTTTGATCATGATCCGATAGCGAAGTCCATTTTCCATCATCAGTAAGAGTCACCATGAAGACATCAGTCTCCTGCTTTAGTTCAAGCTGCTCTTCCTCCTGACTGGTGCAAAGTTCCTCCTGTTCCTCTTTAATCTGTGGAGGCTCTGGGTCCTCTTGGTCCAGACTGGAGTTCCTTTCCTGACTACAGAGCTGCTGGTCACTGAGAACCTCATCCTCAATACAGACATGTTGCTGAGGGAGCTCTGGAGGGATAGAAAATAAACAAAGTACTGTTAGTGTGGTGTTAGGGAAGCAAATTGCATTCAATGCTGGGCAACGGTGTTAAAATCAACACACGGCCACCAACTTTTTAAAACTATAACATATTTTAACAATGTTTATATTTTAACCGCTGCGCTGTGTGTATTTGAAATCTTTGCTGAAGATTTGATCGTGAATTAATGAACAGAATGTGGTTCTATCATCACAATAGGATGCAGTATTTTCAATTAATGCAGCATTTTATTTCTTAACTGGACAAGTACACACTTATTTTTTATTGAAAATGAGTCCTTCTGTTCTATTTGATTAGGTATTTACATCTGATTTATTAATATAGATCACAATTAAATACCTCATACATAAATGAGTAGAACATGGAAATACGTAAGGTATTATAGGTTTAAATTAATATACTTTGTATACATTATTCACACCCTACACAAAATATAGCTAACGAGAGGGGTCAACCATAATGAATCCCATTCAGATTGCTTGATAATGTGTAAGTACTTGATAGGAAATTTTAAAAGTATTTCATTGTTTGTTACACACCTGTTCTGTGCAGCTTTATCTGAGGCTTCAAGACGGTATCCAATAATCTGCGCTGACGACAAATCTCCTCCTCGTATGCTGATAAAGCTTGAGCAAAAACTCCAAATATTTCATCGGCAGCTGCAGCTAGTCGCTCGTTGATAACACTTCTCAGTTTCTCAACTGCAGCCATTTCTACTGTGTGAAATATATGGATGTATGAAGACAAAATAAACCAAACCAACTTGTGTTTTTCTCACTGGCATGAACAACACAACTTCCGGTGGAATGTTCTTCTTCGTTGGTTTAGGGAGGCGTTCTGCACTGATAAAGTTACATTACCGCCACCCAGCGCCGTATAGATAGAATCTATCTATACGGTGCTGCCGCCACCTAACTAGATTGACATTCAAAAATACATTATCCCAATCTCCCACAATAACTAATAAGGGTGTTAGCGATGCCATGATCTTAGGGCAGGAATACCGTGAACATAGTTTAACGTGACAGAGGAATAAATACACACGTACACCATCAGCTGTGCTTCAAACGGAAGTGACACGTTTTATTGCGCATGTCCCTTTTATCACGGGAATACAGGAAGTGATTAGTATAAGAGTACTAAATAAACAGAATTCATATATTACATTTCATAATTCAACACCCCCACTTACTCTTATACTGCACAATTTCTCAACATGAATTCAAATGTAAACACCTTATACACCTTCACAATAACACAGTGTTTGAAACTTCTGGGGTTATTTACATTCCAAACAAATACTTTACAAATTTCTCACTTTTAACCTTTGTTGCAGGCTTAGTGAAAATATCAGCAATCATATCAGCTGTAGGGCAATAGTCAATGGTTATCATGTTATCACTCAGTACAGTTCGAACAAAATGATACTTGACATCCACATGTTTACATCGTTGACGACATACTGGGTTCTTGGATAGAGCAATTGCACCCTGGTTATCTTCAAAGATTTTCACAGGAGTATATTGACCCTCACTATCCATGCTCTCTATTAGCTGCACAAGATACAAACTCTCTTGTGCTGTGGCAGCCAGTGCCATGTACTCTGCCTCACATGTCGACAAAGCTACGGTTTGCTGTTTCTTTGATCTCCAAGAAATAACAGGCCCATTGCTAGTTAGACTAAAACAGTACCCTGTTATACTCCGTCTGTCATTTTGGTCTGTTGCCCAATCCGCATCACAGTATGCAACAAGTTTCAGTTTTTCATTTTGTTGTTTAAAACATAGCTCCTGATTAATTGTGCCCTTTAAGTACCTCAATACATGTTTAGCAGTTAACCAGTGTTGTTCTTTTGGCTCTGAAAAATGCTGTGACAGTTTACTG